GGGGGGGTGAATCGAAATTAGGGATTTCGATCGGATCATTGGGGTTTATTAGTAATAAATCGGCATTTTGCGACCCCCACTGCCACTGTGTAGTATATTATTATTACGTGCCAGGGACTCTATGAGATGATAGGACAATCGTCTGAGTACATAGTTGGCAATAAGTAACGGCAAAACAGTTATGTGACTCACATAATTGTGCGCAGTTGCGTTTTCAGTACACGACTTCCCTGAAGGCAAAAACCTTCAGCGAGCGCGATGCCGATCACACAACGCAGTTCAAATTCGACCCTCGATCGATGGCTGCACCATCGCCGCACACACGTAGAATAAAAAGCAAGGGACAAGTCCTTACTAACAACTCCTCTATCATTTTTCATTGCTGGAGGGGTTGCCCCCCTCTCTACCTGAAAATCCTGGCTCCGCTATTGGGAGAACCCACACTTTCACCCCACCAAACTACTGTGGCTGTCCCCCATTCATATTGCTGGGTGGGCAGGGGGCGGAGGGGATTTAAGGAAGCTGTCCATCGTTTCTACGGCCGTGCCGGGGCATCGAACTGCCAAATGCTGGATTTCACATATGATGCAGTAACTGTAATGCAATGGCAGCATTTAACTTTTACCTTACGTTGTAATGTTTAAAATACGTTTAATGTTTAATTTCATGTATAATGTCGAAACATGCGAATTCCATCTCGCAACTATAGACAAGTTTCTTGGAAGACAGCCAGCCTATAAGCCGGTGCCAAAAAATTCCCAAGCTCTGCAGTCCTCAATATATAAAGATGTTATCAGTGAATTATTGAGTGTTCATACGACGCGTAGAAGGAAAACCGGAGCAGCCGGAGAAAACCCGCCCGTGCGAGGGGGTAACGCTTTATCCCACGCAGAAGGGACAGACGATATTACCGTGAACTTTGAAGTACTGCCTTCTCCTGGCGAGCCAGGGTACGGGCACCTCCTCAACGGCTACGGGGCAAGGATTTTAGCAACATTTGTGTGCTCCACCAACCTTCGCTAGCTCCACAGTGCTGGATTGCAAGGCGTGCGTAGCCACCACCGCTTGGCCGTGGTGTGCTGGTGATGGCCCCCTGCCCACGAGTTTGAGACGTCCCACATGGTGGCGGCTCTGATTACACTACTAAACCTCGAATTAAACTATTTATATTTTTACCAGGTAAGGTCCACTGAGCTCGACGGCTCTTTTTCACAAGCCACGTGGCTATCAAAAATGATAGCGCAACGAAGTGGCTTATCATGTGGAATTTATAGCATCCAAATAGTTGAAACGGGCGATGTGGATTCTAAATGTGGAGCGAAAGAGCGGAGGACCCGGAGAAGAATCCCCGCGACCACAGGGAGAGAGACATGCACACTCCAAGGCGTCAAGGTAGGAATCGAATTCCACGACCTCCTGTATACCAGGTGAGGTAGTTAACATCTCGCCATTAAACAATAACAGTGCACACTAAACGCACACTTAACTGTAAATTAAACTCAAAACAAAGCACACAATACAATATACAGGGAGAGCCTTGTGTGTGTGTGTGTGTATAACCTCTGTCACCCACGCGTGGAATGGTAGGCGGCATACACAGCTGGCTGGGGAGTGATAGTGTAGTGGTTAGCGCTCCGCTGCGCTATGAACCTGGCTACCTGGGTTCGATTCCCACTCACGGCCAAGACCAGTGACGATTATCTGAACCGGTCCTGGGCCTCCCCTAGGTCGACTCAGCCTCCAATGAGTACCTGGTGCGGTGTGTAAACATCGCCACTGGGGAGACAAAGGTGGTCGGGCGTGGTGCTGGCCACCCACATCCTCGTGTACCATTCCGGTCTTCATAGGTGCTCGCTAACAGCACTTGTCCCAACAGTCTGTTAAGGCTAAACGGGGGATCTTTGTCTTTGGTATGGCTGCACAGCTGTGGGCTTTTCCTGGTGGGCTTCTGGTGTGCGTGTCGTTGTTGTATCTTGTGAATGTGCGGGTGTGTCCTGGGTGCGGGGGGGGGTGACGTAGCAGTTAATGCACTGCGCTACGAGCCTGGCGACCCGTTTTGTTTGGCTAACATGAGTGGCGAGTGATATCAAGCCTGGTCCTGGGCTCTAAGAAATGTACGCGTTGTTGAGACTGCCGTGCTTGTGAGATTGACCCAACGACCTCCAGATTGCCAGTGTCCCAACCATTGCACCATGGCAGCAAGGACTAACATGTTTTTTTATTAGTCTTAATATTGTAATATATACGGTGACAAATGCACAAATATAGGTTTCCTATTTCATACTAAATCTGTTTCGTTTTGGAGAAATGGGTAATCTTGATTAAAATGTAAAACATTGGATTTGTGGTTACGTTATTGTTGTCGCTAAAATGCATTTAACGTCTTTGGAAATTTGACCATGTGCCCAGTGGGAAAGAGAACGGGTGGTGGTGGAGTTGGATGTCAACCCCATGGAACACACGGGATATTGTTCAAATGGAAGAGAAGCCAAGACAAATGTTATTTGTATAGGTCATTCGGTTTGGGTACAATTCGTTATTGGTCTATTGGTTGTTTCATGAGAGAATTAGAAATAAAGGAAGGGAGCCATGTATGTCATGGGGGGGTGGGGGCTTGAATACCTCCATGCGTGCTGCATCGGCCTTAATAAGTGCTTGTTGACAGAAATGTTTCCAGGCCAAATAGAAGGATCTTTGTCATATCGGCCCCCTTAGCCACGTCAAACGGCGAGTTCGGTGAATTTGGTGGTCAGCTCGGCGACGTTTACAGGATCTGGCAGAAGGAAGGAAGCAATGGCGGCGGGGATGTGGTGGCAGCAGCAGCAGTTCCCACGATAATCTCGCCATTATTGCCCTCGATTTAACAGAAGGAACAATATGCACATTCTTTGTGAGCACGGCTCCAGATGTTGTAGCGATGTAATCAAAGAGAGAGCAGTTTAATTTGTGCCAAAGTGTCTTTTGAACGTATGGGCGATCAAAAAAACGATGTCTGCATGGATGGTGATGGTTCAGTTGTATTTGAATGTTTTTGGGTGATTTGTTTACCTTTCTTGTACTTTGCACTGCTATCGTGTTTTTGTATTGTTATCGTATTCTTTGTTGAGGTCACGTTCTGACCCTGTGCCCCTCCTGGACATCTGTGAAAAATTGCTTTATAGCTCATATACATTTTCTGATTCTGACTTTGCAGTATTGTTATTTGAGCCAGTGGTGAATATTACACATTCCGATGGCTCATACCAATATATATCTGTAGGACAACCATTGTTGGTGCCTCGCAAAAAGTGATGTGCATGGTACTTAAAAAATATATATTATATATACTAACCCCAGAAAAGATTGTGCGCCGAGTTGACCCCAGACCTGGATCGCAACTCAGATGCCACTGCCTTGGTGCCACGCTGCCATGCGCTCACCAACCGCCTCGGTGGTGCGTTGTATGTGTGGCACGTTTGCTGCGCCACCCCCCGCTGCCATTCCGTATTGTGGCCGTGCCTGCCCTGATTTCGTCAACCCTGTCTCCCCACAGATTACAGTGTTCCCTCGTTATTCGCGAGGGATGCTCATTGCGGATATGCTCATAAATAAGGTGTTTCGCAGATGATATGTGAATTACCTTAACTACATAAATAAGCTATTAAATACGTGAACATTATCATAGCACCTCTTTATCGCATCACGTTAGCTCTCATCAGTTTATCTCATCACTTTCTCGCATCACATTTTCTCTCGTCACTTAATATCTCATCACGTTTTCTCTCTCTCGATGCAGTAGTCGTTTAGAGTTCCAGATGCGATTGGCAGATAGCCAATATCATGGATTGCAAGTTTGTGAATAAGGATGGAGTATCGTACAGCAGTTTTAGGCCAAGTCCATCTCACTTGCTGCTTCCGTTTCGTGGCAAATGTTAATTGTCAGTTGTTGTTTTTCTTCTTGAGTTATTGGTTTGTGACGAACCCTGTGTTTTAATATTTTTCGTTAAAAGGGTGCGATATCTCTGATTAATTTACGTCTTGTTATCGACCTGTGTGTGTGGGTATTTAATCACCTTTGCAGCATTACATGCGTTGATTTTTATTATTACGTACTCATTTGACAAAGTGAAATCTTACAAACAAAAATGCACGTTGTTATTATTTCTATGTAACAAAAAACTGTACATATATTTATTTATGGTAGCGCAGCATTAATTTGCATGTTTGCACATTCACTTGCCTTGTGTTTGCTACAACGTGCGCAGCGGTTGATATTGTTACATTAACCGTGAGAATACTCATCGAAATAGATTCTCATTAATGTCAAAAAGCAAGTTTTATTTATTTGGATTAGGTGCAAATACTATTTACAAGAGGTGTGAAGACACTGCGGCAAATTCAAGTGCGATTGCCGCACACTCCATCAACACCAAGTGTATTGCGCGCATCTCCGGGATGTTTTAATGGGGTTATAATTGGGACAGTTTCCATCTGGATGGTTTTCATCTATTTCGGGGCGTCGCACAAGTACGGATTTAGTTAATTAAACCCCTGACTTTCATTTACAAGCCCTTGATGGCAATTTAAATGGCAAGGCGAGAGCAATTCATCTTTAGTTCCCAAACAGGATGGCATTGCTCAAGGCCTCCAGTATTGCGCTTTCTACGACCGTGTGAAAGATTCAATTAAGTGTTTTTGTCTCTTGCCGCGACTGTATTTATATATTAAAGTACACTTAAAGTTGTCATCTCCGCGAACAACACGTTATGTAAAACACGCCGCGTGATGTCATTACAGCACAAAATATATTTATGCGCCCGTTGCACATTAGCCATAGCAGGGTGCTAACGTCGAAAAAAGTTATTTCCGCTCATTTCACAGCCTGCCACTGAACATAAAGCCTCATTATCGAGTTGCGTCTGACCTAACGTCGCCCCCCCCCCACTCCATCCTCCCCGTCTCCCACTCTATTTGCCGCCCGTCTCTCTCCCAACTCTCCCCCTCTACTCTTGCTGGTGCAGCCCCTACTGCGGCGGTAGCGGCGGCGGAGCAGGCGGCTCCCGACGTGGTGGTGCTGAGCTATCCGCGCTACTGCCGCTACCGCGCGCTGCTGGGACGGCTGGCGGGCGAAACGACGACGGCGCCGGTGGCGGCGGCGCCGGCAGCCGCCGCGTGGGCGACGCACCCCACGCTGCGTGCGCTCGCCGGCGGGGTGGCCCTCCCCAAGCCAGGCTCGCGGGTCCTCTTCTGCCGACAGACCTTCAACCACTCGAGCCTGGCACGCATCCCCACCGCCGCCAGCGCCGTGCTGCTCCGTGAGTTTACGGATGGATTTTCTTTTTATATGAATTCGCCCCACCCCCCCCGCCCGCTCCCGCGTTCTTTGAGTTGTATTGGCAAGCAATGTTTTGCGCGCACGGGTCCGGTAGAGCGAGCCGAGGGGTTATCTGGACTAACGCGATGGTTCATTAGATAATATGTTTTCGCGGGCGTCCTCGGTTTGATTTTTGTAACCGCCCGGTAAATTGCAGTGGGGAAATTAACTAAAGTCTCTGTCCGCTTCATTCGGTGAGGTCTTTGATTCGCAAGGTGAGAGCCCACTGGGAGAAGAGCTGTTTTTCGTAAGGGAGAGACTTAAGGTCAAATAGAAGCATATCAATGTTTGGGAGAACAGCGGAGAAAGTGACGCTGCAAAAGTGAGTGGTGCATAGAGAGGAATAAGAGGAATTAAATCAAACGCATGTTAACTGGCAGGTAAAATATTACAAGAGCGAAAATGTATAACCACCTCTGCAACTTAAATTGTTTAAATTGACAGTGCTATGGCTAAAAATGAAATAAATGTTAGAATGCAATTGAAATTGTATTATGCCACAATGGCACGCATTGCCATATTTCCAAAGCGTTCACATCCCTACGTCTCTCAAAGTGTCTCCCTACTCCCGACAAATCTAGCGCACCCTTCATCGCCATTCGGAAGCTCTGAACCATTTATAAGACATTCCCAAGGAGTGGTCCAACTGCACGAAAGTCCACGGTATAACCAAAACTACCGCCCACTCCAAAATGTACCCCATTCAGGGGTGTGCCCCCCGCTGCGCTTTGTCAGTGATGGTACTGCCAGATGCTATATCTGTCTGGTCCTGTGAGGTCCTCCTGAGACCTGGCTGTGAAAATACGCGCAATAGATGTGATGCATTGATCTGCAAGCCAGAGTCCTCACTCGTGCTTGTATCATGTCCGTCATATCTGAGCACTGCTACCTGCACCGCAGAAATTTATCTTTTTACAGCACTGAATTAACGCAAGTGTTAACCGAATTACACAGAGGTCAGCGAGCGTTTGCCGGTGTCTTGGCACTAAATCGCATCAAAGGAAAAAAAATACTGACAACCGAGTTACTATATATATAAAATCTACATATTTATATAAATAACTGGCTATGTGAAAACTGCTTCACAATTGTCTCTTTGAAAGAAATTGAGTGTCACATGGCATCACAGCTGATTACTTTTCTCACCTCTTGGCTGCAGCTCTCTCAGCAGGGTTGGTGGAGATCACGCAGAGGTCACCGTGTGTTGTGAAATTCCCAGCCAGCCCCGGTGGCCTATGACAAGGCAGTGTAGAGCACGCGGGTTTGTGACCCATCTGTGCGCACTTTTGACTGTTATTCCCTCGTGTGTGAGGTTTTTAGCCAGACACTCAATCTTTGCCCAAACTAAAAACACTCATTAAGGAATTGGCTGAACAATGCTGGCCCCTCACGAAAAAGTCAGGCTTTCCAATATTAAGGACTGCTGTAATATAAAATGTATTCCAGCGATTCTGCATAGACCAATGGAAACGTGCCTCCCCAGAGACTACTGTAATTTTGAGTAAGCAACACAATGGAATCGAGAAACATGAAGCCAAATGAAATTATTTTACTTTTACGGTAAGCACAGGGGGCGCATATGTGATGATGAATCGCCCAAAGAGAATCTGTGATGGGATGTTTTTTTTACTTGTGCAACGAGACTGTTTTCATCTACCTTACGTGCACTTCATAAGTCATTGTGTTTAAAAAAGAAAGTTTCCGTGGTTAGGCCAAAGACGTTGAAGCACAAAGTTCGATTCTGGCTTTTGTACAGCGCAAGATACGGTCACATCTGGGTGGGCAGAGCGACAGGTTGACGTGTGTGTTGTGTGTGGGTTTTTCCCCCATGAAGTTTTGTCGGGTTTGTTCAGGTTTTATTGTCAGTTTATTCATGTGTATTCATTGATTTGTATATTTATGCATACCTGGTGAGAGCTCGTTGAGTGTTGTGTATTTGCTTTAACAAACAAAAAAATAGGGTATACAAATGCAAGTCAGACCACTTGATTTATGCAAATCTTTACTTAAGCTTGCCAGGTGGATTATAGTCCTAAGTGCGTACTCGGTTGAGAACCGCAGAGTCCCGTGTCTCCTGACGCCAACGAGCGCCGAGTGGCGTTTATCTCTCTTGATGGGCGCCCCCCCTCCCCCCCCCCCCCGGTGCCGTCGGTGGAAATTCCACATTCGTAAGACAGAGACCAGATCATCAACGGGACATTTTCCCATAACAACGGAAGCAATGCTCATTTGATAAAACTCGGGTGCACTGATTGGCTGAGGTGACTCCCCAACTGTGATTTTTTTATTCGTGTTCTTGTGATTTCCAGTGGTGAGTCACTTGCTCTGGCTGCAGCGTCACCGCTCGGTTTTGTATAACGCTGCACGCGTGTGTGTACTAGCATAATTTCATGTGTATTTATACATGTAAATGCATGCGTGTGAACTTCTGTTTTTCCCCCTGTTGCGTGCCAATAAATATTTATATATTGCATAACGCAGCATAAATAATATATATTTTTGTTAAAATAAAATAAAAAAGCCCCGCTGCATTTCGATACAAGTCTTTTCGGCAATAGAGAACTTGCGCCCTTATCAAAGTGAAATATGCGAGTCACGGTTGTTGTAAGCACGTGGTGTCGGTGATGAGTCACGGGCACAGAGCGGAGCGGCTGGCTAATGGAGTGCTATATAACGCGAGTTTAACATCTTCTAGTCTAGAGCCACGCGCCCTGTCCCGCAAGTGAACTTGCCGAACGTGAGTACCGACCCCGATTTATTTTCTGTATTCGGTGTAAGAGTTCCATTGAGAACACTGTACGTGTGTGTGTCTTTTGCAAACAAGACCTGGGAGACATGGTATGCATAGGGTTTAACTGAGGTTAGAATAAAGGTCAAGGTTATGGATAGGATTGAGGGTTAGGATTAATTTTATAAGGATAGGATTGGGATTATGGTTGGGGCTGGGCTTAAGTCTAAGAATAGGGTTAGGGTTATGGTTGTGGATGATTTGGTATAAATAGAATTAAGGGTCAGTTTGAGGTTTTGGGTAAGACTGGAGTGGGCATTTAAAGATAATAAAAATATTGTCCACATTATAAATAAAACTGCAGTGGTCTGTTGTCTGTGAGTGTTTCACAGGACTTGAGTAATTTGCGAGCCCATATGAGTTCATTCTGACTGTTATCATGATGATATATGTGCCAACAATGACTTTTGACTTGGCTCAAAAAAAGCATGACCACAATGTGTGAACAAAAAATCTTAGGAGTTTTATAAATGTCTGCACCCTCTTCCCCTTTCTTTGTTTTATTTGAGAATAATTTTGTCAAATAAGTTTAAAAAAATGCATTGTCACGAAGAATCTAAACTAAAAATCTAAACCAGCGCTGTCCAAATTAGGGCTCATGTCCCAAGAGCGGCCCACAAGTTTACGTAATCTAAACGATAAAAAAATGGCCAGCTTCGGCCTTTAAATTACATTCATAAACCATATTACTTCACAGGGTGAAAAAGTTAAGTCAATTGTCTTGATTCTAGATTTGAAGCTTTCGTGACTGCAAGGATTCATACTCTTAGTTCTTTCGGTAAAGTCACGTAGGTAAAAAATGAAATTAAAATTAATAAAAATGAAAAATAAAAACAATAAAATCACGACGTTTCGGAGGCAACACAAGCTTCCGTCTTCAGGTGAAACTGTTTCACCTGAAGAAACTGTATTTTTTTTAATTAATTTTAATTTCATTTTTTACCTACGTTACTTTACCGAAAGAACTAAGAGTATCAATTGTCTTGGCCAGCATGTAGGCTTGGTTGTGATGTGGGCCCTGGGGATTGAAGACTTGAGTCTAGTGTAAGTGGGTGCCACGGTGGCGAGATGTTAACTACCTCGCCTGCTATACAGGAGGTCGTGGGTTCGATCCCGACCCTGACGCCTGCTGTATATTTGGAGTTTGCATGTTCTCCCAGTTGTCGCGTGGATTTTTCTCCAGGTCCTCTGGGTTTTTCCTCCTCATTTACAAACATGCGTTGAGATAATTTGGCTGCTATACATTTCCACGTGTTAAGCCACTTGGTTGAGCTATCATTTGTTGCCAGATCGCTTCTGAAAAAGATCTCCATAGCTCAGTGGGCCTTATTTTATTTTATACCTTCGTGACTTTACCGAAAGAACGAAAGAGTGTTAAATAAAAAATAGTGTTTCTGTTTAGTTAGCGGCTTGGTGCAATGCCGTGTTGTTGGGGGTGCCGGCGGCAATGCCGAGAAGTTCAGAATCAGAACGTTTATTTTGACTGCAGGAGGAATGAGATGAGCTCTGAGGCTCTTTTTCACAGATGTCCACCATGGGCGGTTCCCGTAAGTTATACAACAGCGAACAATGCAAGGGACGATAGAAGTGGAAAAAATATAAAGAAAACGTAAGCATCTTCTTGGTTCTTTCGGTAAAGTCACGTAGAAGGGAAGTAATATTTTTATTATTTTATTACTTCCCTTCTACGTGACTTTACCGAAAGAACCAAGAAGATGAATCCCTGCAGTCACGAAAGCTTTAAATCGAAAAACGTAAGCAGGTCACCTAATATAAATAAATAATGATTGCCAGAGCCGTGCAGGCGAATGCAGCCGTGTCTGTCCAAGACTGCATCGGCGCACGGGGGAAGAAGCCCTCGCTGTCCTATCGCAGCCGTCCAAAGTGAGGCGGTCTGTTTGTGTCAATTTATATTTGTATAATTGCACGACGCATCACAGCGCATTGAGTGCCGCAGTCGTGTTCCGCGTTTAGAGCGTCCCGTCTCTTTGGCTCGATGCGTTCTAATGGACACGAATACAAGTACCGCAGTGCGCGCAGCCATCAATGTGACGTTCTCTATTTATTTAAAAATGTAATTACTGAATTTGCATTTTAGATTTCAATCATTCCCCCCCCCCCCCCCCCCACTACTAAAATATGGCAGGACTCCT